TTTWMYTKRWTTKRAWWWTTTTTGGGAAACATTGTGCACTTATTAAAATACCTGTCGATGAGCCAGTGGCTAAGTCTCATACTAACCACTAACTAAAATTTATTAGAAAGAAAAAGGCCCACTCTAAGCTTTACCCTTTAAGTGTCTCTCATCTCCACATGCATTCACAGGTTCACTTACCATAAACATGCTAACCCTGACAGCTTTGTGTATCCTGTAACATTAACATGGGAACAGCTTCACTGCACCACAACAGCCTTAATTGCATTAAAGAGCCAGTGCACACAGATCATCTTATAGCCTGAAAGTGATTACATTATGTGTACTTTAGAGGCAAACAGGACAAAACCAGATGACCCATAACAAAGAGCTGTATTCAAATAAATGAAACTAAACTAGATTTGTGCACAWATATCATAGCAAAACACTAAACAACTTAAGTTTTTGTATGGACACTGACAGTAAGCAAAGATCCTTCTCAAMTCCACATTTCTTATTGTTGAACCATAATTGACAGCAAAATACAGATTAATTGCACAAAAACAACTTAATCTAGCTCTTAAAGCAGTTTTGGAAAATAACACGTAAAAAATTAAGTGGTGCATCTCAAGTACAATTAAAAGTTCAATCCCAAAAGTGTAAAACAGACATGACTCACACACACACACACACACACACACACACACACACACACACACACACACACACAAAACTAAATAAAGAAGAAAAATAAAACTGAAAGACATGCGAGTTTGTAAATTTACAGAAGCAGGCCTCTCCCTGGCCTAAACAGGTAAATCTTGAGTTTCATTCCAGTATAATGGCACACTTGAGTCACCCTCAGATGATCTGCCATTTGTCACAGTAACTTTAGAAAGATAAWTTACAGCTTTAATACCTTTTCTTTTCTTTAAAACATATGAGTCACATGCTCATGGCAATATTAACAATCATAAACACATTGGTCTCTTATGTATTCAAGAAGATTGGCTCTGCTGTTCATTGCCTAAAAGGAAACAGGAACATCATCCATCTATTTCCTTTACCTACGTTTCTGCGCAGGGTTGTGGAGAAACTGGTTCCTATCTCTAGCGGTCATTAACGAGAGGCGGGGTACACCCTTTACAGTTCACAAGTTCCATGAACGATTGTTGGTTGAAGATCAACAAAACTTTCACGATCTCTAACCTTTAGACGTTAAAATGCATTTAATTTGCCCAATGTGTTTTCTTAAAAAACACATTTACCATTACTGTAAGCCTATCACGATATGATAACACTATGGTTTATTCTGAATTCCAAAGCCATAACAATGCCCTAGTTTGATTAAATGACCTTGAAAAGCTGAGGCGACCTAGTCTGRCTCCTGCTGGGATATCTGGTCTACCCAAGCTGAATTTCTGGGAAAGGACTTGATGATGTCACCTTGAATTTGCATGGCTGTATCTGCAAGGCCACTGAGCTGATTAAGACAGAAACTACACATTGTACCAGTGTTTGTTGTCATATTTCCTACCCGTGGCATCAAATGACTTTGACCATAGGGTGTGACTAAGATTCTAAAAGTACAYGGCACTCAAAGTCTTGAACCCAGGACCCGCCTGGGATTGTGTAACACAAAATACATAATATTTAAGCCAAACAGAGTTCAACTGGTAATCTTTCCAGGTCAAAACGAGTCCAACTTTGTAAAAGAAAAAGTCACTTTGATGACAATAACATATCATTAGTGTGGTGTGTGTACTCAAACAAAATAAGAAATGGGAAGAGCCATGTTATTAAAAATTTCTCATGGCTGTTAAAGTGTCTCTGTGTAAAAACTAATCTTTACCACTTGGTATTCAAAAACAGGRRAACGTTAAAACCTCATGGTCAAAGGTGACTAAGCTTAAGAAAGCATAACCAAAACAGTCTTAATGTGTGCTTTAGGAACAAACACCAGTTAGTTTGTGACTTTCCTTTGCATCACAGTTTTATAGTAATCTTGAATTCTGTTGAGTAAAGATTACAGAAAGAAAACGCCTAATATAATAGAAAAGGAGTATGAAAACTATTCTCTCATTGTACATATAAATTTATCCCAACTATGGAAATGCATGCATGTAAACGGAGCCAGTGTTCAATTTTCCATGTGGGGGCTGTCTTTGTCACAACAGCATAAACATAGTTAAGAATATAAACACTGTGTGCCAGTCCTAAACGTAGCAAGCAGTCTGTCATTTTAGACCTCAGTTAGCTTGATAAGAGAGGCCTACAGAAGGAGGATCATTTCTCTGACAAACACACTTAGAGTGAGAACAAATGACATGTGTCATGGTTAAAAAACGCATAACAGCGAGAGCGTCCTCTTTTCACATGAGGCTCTTTGTGCTAAATTTGCTGAACACAAACAATACAGTTCTACACATCCTAATGCTTTTTGCTAACAATAATATGAACACTTTATTGAACAACAAAAGGCTAAATGACTTTACACAGACCGTCTGAAGACAGTATTTAACTCACCAGACTTAACTAAAACATACCTGTGCTGCCGTAGGACTTTGATAACAGCCATCCGACACTTGCGCATATTTTTGATTTAGTGCAGTCATACAAATCCAATGGCTTTATGTCCGAGACAACAAAAGTCTTCTTCATGGTAGGGGAATCCACCATAGCGAATCTGTTAMAATATGAAACGCTATGCCGGCAAAAAGGGGGAAAAACACTGTATTAAAAAAAACAAGCAATCATTTTTTTTTTCTTTTTGTACAGGAGTCCATACAACCGCAGGGCTGGGAATACGGATGTGGTTTCAGGTTTTCCTCGGGAAATATCCGCCCCGGTCACGTTTTCCCAGCTAGTTCAGGTTTTTTCTCTCCTTTATAGCTTTTAGCGGAGAAAAAAAATCCGCTCGGTTACACTTTCCAAGCAAACGAAGCCGAAATTCGCCAGGTTAATACACAAAACCGGAGTATTCCCACTTGTATTCCTTATCCGTCCGCATTGCTGTGTTGTCAGTTCACTGTACACAGCTCCACTTTCGTCCAGCCGATGAGTGACTGCCAGGTACTCCACACTGACGTCGCGCTTTCATTCCCTCGTCCAATCGCAATCGAGCGTGAGCGGAGAAGGCGGGACTTTCTTGTGAACGCAGTCAGCAGGTACAGGTGTGGTGTAAATTTGGCTACAGGTGCATCTCGTACATGGGATGAACGCCCGTGGACAGCTTTTAACAGGTTGCGTCAAAACAACTGGGAGTGAGTAGAAATACYGACGTTTTACTATTGCAGTAGAATCCTTTATTTTCATAGCCTATTTAAACACAGTATAGCCTACAAAATGACAGCTATTAAAAGAAATAATAGCAAAATAATCTGCAAACGAAATATATAGTATTTACCAACATTAAGGAGCTATTCTGATCAGTTTGACTGGACAGTAAAACCACAATTTCAGTTCAAAACATGTTGTGTAGTCTTCAGTTTGTTGCAGAACAAGACTTAATACAATTATCTTGTAGCTACCCCTTTTTCTCAATATTAAGCTCTAACAAGACTGTAAATTACACGAGTCTCAACTGTATTTCTTAATTCCTATTAACTTTAAAATTAGCAGGTGCAAAGCATATATGATGGTAATGTACCAAGCTGATCTTGTTTTTAACCATTGTTCAATAATGTTGCAGGAAAAACTACTATAAGGATTAAATAATAATACAAAAACACATAGACAAGAAAGTTAATTTATGTAAGATAACCAAAGGGAAATGAAATAGTACCTTGTTTCTAATTACAATAACAAAAGAGTGAGTTTCCCTTTGCCTTTGAGATCAAGTTTCCTGAAGAACCAACATTGGAAAAGTTCTGCATCAAATGATGCTCAAAGTTGCAAGTTCTCCATAAGCTGATCTAACTTTGTAAAAATAATTACATCTCAGCTATTTCATTCTAATTATGAAAAGAACAATACAATTTTAGTCTATATTTTGGGATTGCGTTTAAATAATTTGATGTGATGAAAAAATGTTGACCAAAATGCCTCAAATAGTTTTTATCGGAAAAGTTTTGAAGATTATCAAGTAGATGTATTTGGGATTTGAATGCTTGGCTCAGAATCACATTTTATAACATTACTACAGACACATAAATGGGCAGTGAGAAATGCAATTATTCGCTAAAACAAAGTTTTCAAGCTTTTCTCCGTATCTTTTTTGTTTTAATAAAACCTTGAAAAATCCTGTTGGTGTTAAAAAAATCCTGAAAGGTTTCAGTGCAATTGCAAACAGCTACAGTTTATCAATGGAAAAGATGAATGTATTCTATGGACTAGCTACATTTTGTGATTTATTTAAACCACCACCTTGTTGTAATACTTAACTCACAAAAGCAAAACTTAAATGGTCAACTCCACTTTCAAATAATCCCTAGTGGGGGAAAAAGGCTCTCCTTTGTTTTTTTTTTTTTTTAAGGCAAAAGCTTCTGTGAAAGATCCACCAAATTCTTAGAGAGATTAGAGCATGGTTACATTTATTTGTTTTACAAAATGTTCTAAAATAATCAAACTACATTAGGTCTTAGTCACAGGTAACATGCAACTGATCATTAGTATTCCTTAAGAGAAACAAAACATCTCAATAGTACAAATATCATGAGCCTCTAACTTGAAACTGGCTGACACCATGTGGCCAAAACATACCTAATACAGCAATACAAGTCTATTGGTAAAAATGCTTTCATCATTTTTTTTGTTTTTTTTTTAGTAACTTTTTGCCAAAATGATACATTTAAATCTACTAAAACATCACAAACAAAATAAAATGTCTGGGTCCTTGCTGATTCCCGTAAATTCTCTTTCAGTCATCTGTAAGCCCTCCAAAGACTGCTGTTGGGACGCTCTTCTGCTCAAGCTGCACCTCTGTGAAAGCCAAGAAAAAAAAGACAAATGCACTTTCATGACTACAGAAATGTTAAAACAAGCACTTTTTCCTAATTATACATTGCCACACACTGACCCTCTGGTCCTTGTTCATCGTCATCTTCATCCTCATCAATGTTGATCTCATCTGGATTGGCCTGTTTGGCAAGCTCTGCCAGCTCACTGCGAGAAGTGTCACTCCTGTGTAAATGGGTCAAAAATAGGAGTTTCCTTAAAATAAGGATGTGACCCTCCTCAGTTTTCTTGAACATTTTTACAAATAAAAACGACCCACTAACCTGACAAACAGAATCTTTTCTTTAGGTTTGGGTTTGTCTTGCTCAGCCTCTGCAGCAAGTTGCTGTGCTTTCTGCTCCAACATCTTCATATCATCAATTCCCATCTGACCAGGCGCAAGATCTGACACTGATATCACATAAAATGGATGGACAAATACAGAAACATTTGATAAAAATGATCATCATTTTTAAACTGAATCAGCATTGACCTTTAAGATTTAGGACAAATATAGAACACGTGTTATAGAGCAGCACAGTACATCACAAATATCTTCACTGCAGTATCAATGAGTGCAATATTAATATCACAAATGACTGTCTGGACTGCAATACAGACCATTACATTTCAAGCACCATGCATTGATGATCTGCTTTCTAATAATGTATTTAGTCAATCCAAGAGTCTCACTGGTCATGATACCCATATCTAGTTTAAATGCTAGTGATGATGAAAGTGAGGAGAAAAAATGTGGGTTACTACAGTTCCCATAATCATGGCAGTATAAAAAAATAATATTACATCACAAGTTTCACAGATATTTCTAAATCTCAGCAACTCAAACAAAACAATCAAGCAACAAAAAGTAACTGCAGACCAGATGAATGTTCATTTATGATATGAGGTGGATTTTCCTTTAAATGTAGCCCGAGTTCTCTTACCAGTGCCAGTGGAGCTTGTTGTAGCCTTCAGCATTTGAGAGGACATAAAATTGACCTGGGTGTTATAGGTAGCCTGAACACTGCGTTTGATCCTCAACATCTCTCGAATGGTGTCTTCATTTCCATGGCGGATCTCAAACTCTTTCCAGGTTTGCCAAAAATGAGCTGTCACCTAAAAGATTTAAGTTAATAAATGTATAATAAAGAATTAAAGAACAAGCCAACACTTTTCAAAGACATTTTTTTGTGTTTATTGAGGCAAATGTCTCTCACCCTTGGATCACAGATCTGAGAGCAGTAGGAGTAGATTGCTCTGGCGCGGTCWATCTCGCCAAGTTTGCTCTCCATATCTGCAAATCGCAGGCACATCTCCCTTGCATGCTCATCTGGAAGGACCTAGATGAATTTAAATGGTTTACACGTTTTAGACATCGAAGATAATTAAAGGGAACTTAACATAWAAAAGATGACTAGATTGGCATCAAACAAAATACAGGAAAATAGTTGCTGTTAGCTTTATAAAGCAAGAAATTCTCAAACTGCATTCATTTTTTTGTTTTTATAGAGCTAAAAAAATTGACAGAATTTGTGGACAAATAACGTTCTTTTTAAGATACAAAAAAATATACTCTACCTCAATAGCCTTCTGATAAATTGCTCTAGTATATGTAACTCCGTAAATTTCAGCTGCTCTTTTGATGTAGATGTTGAACATATGGTGTCTCTCTTCAGTTTCCACAGCCTGCGTTGCTCTTTCATAGACAGCCATGGCATGCCGCGCCAATCCATACTCCTCTTCCAGTTTGGCATACAACAGGTAAATGGCTAAAAAGAAAAAAAGAAAAAAAAAACAGTGTATCAGYGGATTTTATAGGTGGGAGAAATCTACAACAAAATGCAAAACACAAAAAATATCTTGATATAACTCTATTAAAGCTATTTACTCTTTGCAAACTTTGCAGGGCAGCCATCAAGGGCCTGTTCAAATAAATCCCGAGCTCTCTCCAACTTCTTGCCTCCGTAACGATCGATGAACTTGGTCAGGTAGGTGTTCCAAATGTCATAAACATTTGGCCACTTGAAGAGAGCGATCCCTCGCTCATATGCCTTAAAAAGGAAAAATGTAATTACAAGCATCCACAAGTGAGCATAACTTTTTTTAATCACCATATTTTTAATCATATTTTTGTGAAATGAATAAAGCTTACCTTAAAGCTTTCCTCAAAGTAGTTGTGTTCTTCAAGAAACATGGCATAGTTGATGATGATTTGCGGAGTGGCAATGCGTAGATCAATAATACGGTCGTAAACTGCTTTTGTAGACTACATATTCAAAAAGAGCACAGAGAAAGAATTACACTCAAAATCTACAGGTTTGTACTTCTGTTTAACTACCATCCAGTTTAYACAAACTGGACAACTTTCCTTATTTTCATTTGCAGCTGAAAACATATTGAACATACCTGGAAAGTGCCAAGACTTTCCTCCAAGTCTGCCAGCATGGACCAAACTTTCAAGGACTTGTATACTCTGTTTTGAACTGGCTCTGATGAATCAAAGTACTCTGCTTTCTTGGATGGGATGGCTGTAGCTTTCTGTTAAAAAAATAAATAAAACATATTCCCTCTTACAACAGTATCCACTATAAACATTTCATAGAACAGCATACATAGTTTATATTATTTGAAAAGATGTGCTTTAGGTAAAAAAAAAAAATGCTATCTATTTTCAGTTATTTGCTCTTTGTTAGGGTATGCTTTAAAAGCTTTTACAAAAACAATATTGTTAGTATTGTTGCAGTTTCTAAATGCTGCCACTAGATGTTCCTATGTACTTAAGTGTAAAAGAAGAACAACTAACAATCTGTGTGACATTGCCTCACTTTTTCTTTTCTTTTTTTTGCTTTTGACTCAACAAATACATTTTAAAGGATTTTAGAATTCACAAAACTGTTCAAGTTAGAAGAAAAACAAAAAGCTGGTCAAAAGAACTAAAAGAGGAATGAAAGGTGTCTTTTGGGGGTGGGAATCTTTTACTATGTCACGATTCGATTCCGATTTTGGGGGCCAAGATTCGATTCAAAATCGATTTTCCATTCAAAAAGATTTGATTTATAAAAATTTCTGCTTCAGTCTATAGAATCTGCATGATTAACTCCAGTCTGCATTGCAAGACAGAATGACAAAT